AGGGCTGTGCTACTCATTTGTCTTTGAGTTTGCTAGTCTCACATAGGGCGTTAGGATAAAATCTGTCAAAAGGTAAGGAGATTTGGAAATGATGAAATGCACTTTTGATAGATGGGGACTTCCTGCACTGGTCGGTTGTCTCCTTTCCCCTCCCAGCCTGTTGGTTTTACATATGCTCCAGCAAAGTTTCATTTTTATTTATAACTACTGTGGTTCAGTACTGTAATCCCACATTTAATTGCCATCCCATTGTAGATAACACAGAGAATTTACATTTCCGCTAATGAACACCACTTTTGTTCTTGTGTCTTGTCCACTGTTTTTCTTGCTTTATGTTTAATAACTCTTAAACAAGAATTAAATGAGCTATATTGGCAAGTTATGCAGGGCAGGTCTTTCTATACTGAAGTTCACTTTTTTTCATATTGTCATTTTTATCACCTGTAAAGTGAAATGCAACAGAATTTTTATCCTTGTCAGGTATTTCTCTTAAGTATCAAAAGTTACAGTTCTTAAACCTGTGGAGGTCTGACATAATCACTAGAAAGTAAAGTCTTTCAGTAATAATGTAAATGGTTTACGCACTGTGTGGGTCTCTTGCTGTTTACGTATTGATGCCTACTGCGATTTCCCCAAACTCTGCAATTTTTCCATCTTGCTTTCCAGTTAACAGCTAGTTCCCAACTACCTCATGCAGTGTTCTCTGAGCTGATTTCTTTCATGTGTCTTCCTTTCTGTCTTCATTACTTCTCCTGATAACCATCAGTGCTGCTAGTCACTGACATTTAAGTTAATCCTAAACATTATGGTTTCATCAGACTGAACACATGATTTGGCTCCTTAACTGTTCCTGACCTGCTGCCCTTAAGTAAAGGTCTCCCGTTCTTTGCAGAGGGTTAACACACACTTTTACTCAAGGCAAGGGGCATTCATTATTGTCATTTTAACATATCTTTATTTCTTCTGTAAGGCCACTCAATTTATGCCATTCATTTTGTGATGGCTGCATTCTTGGACTTCAAATCTTCTTTACCTCCCACCCTGCTAAGCAATTCTTCTGATTCTTATATCCATCCTTTTTAATCTGCTGGAGGGTGAAATATAATTTGTTCCAATGAGCAGTCTATAGATTTCAGAGCCCACACGGGCCAAGCTGCCTTTTGAAGATGAAAGGCAAAAGATACCCAGAGCACCTCAGGGCAATGAAAATACAGGTGATACTTTTTTAATGCCAAGCTGACTTTCCTCAGGGATTAATGATGGAGAAAAAAAAAATCTTGACATGAATGCCCCCTGCTACAGAACCAGACTGAAAGAAAGTGTAAGATCAGGGATCACAGCCGTTGCTTGGATGGCAAGCTTGAGCCAAACAATTTCCTCCTGTCTATAGAGGGATATGAAAAAGGCAAATGAAAATTAGAAAAACTAACATATCTCCTGCTTCCCTCAGGGGGAGAAAGAAAAAATCATATAACAAAAAAGAAAGCATTTTCCACAAAGAGTATTTTGGAATGAGTGAAGCTAGCTTTCAGCTCTACGCCAGTAGAGCATTAAACTACCGTACCATAAGATCCTGGGACCACGAAACAGGGAGCCATGTGTGTGAACTCTACAAGTAATCTCCTGGCACATCCTGGAGATAAAGATATCTGAGCACTAGCCTTGATAAAGAAAACTTCCAGTGCTGATAAAGGTGTCAGAAAAGTGCACATACATACACAAAAATTGCAGTAAAGTGTGCTTAGGCACCAAAAAAAGAGACTCACGGCAAAAAGCATTCTTTCTGCAAAAAAACAAAACACAAACCCCACAGATCTGTGGACAATAAAGTCATCTGAGCCCTGTCAGACTGGTGACTCTGTTATGTACCACCTCTCAGAAGACTGGGCAGGCACTGTTCCCTTGCAACGGGAACACACTCAAACTGTGAATAAAGGAAAATAAGTAACTGAAGGTTTAGAGGGAAAGAAAAATCAAAAGTTTCATTGTTATAATTACACAGCACAATGATAAGGGTAATTTTTCTTAAATCAGAAAATAAATTCAAGGTTCAAGTTCCCTGAAGGATATAAAATATTAGAGGATTTTTTATGGTTGTAATCACAAACTCATTTCTCCAGCCACTACTGGCCGTGTCTAATTAGGGCAAAGTATGTTAATGATACAGCGGCACAGCCCAGAGACGTCTTCAGTTGCAATATTAATTGCATTTAGGGACAGAAGCATGAATTGTGCTTATACAAGCTAATTAGTATGGGTTTGCTAATTAATACTGGAAAGTCAAACTGCTTTTGTCTTGTCAACTGCAATTAGCTGAAGATGTTTAAATCTGAGTTTTGGGGGTTTTTTTTGTTCTTCCAATAGTAAACTCACTTTAGCTGACAAGCAATGAAATCAGGCGCTGGAGTACTCAATGGCAGCTGGTGCAGCAAGTCCATCTCACCTTCCTCCACCAAGACCCTGTGCCCTGGCCTCACAGCGTCCCCTCTAGCAAACGCTACTCGTTGTCTCACACAACAAGGGCCCTCTCCTCCCAAGGACGCAGAGACAATAAGTCTCTTATTGAGACCATGATTCTATCAGATTTACCCCACAAGTATTTTCCTCTTAAATATAGCTATGTAAAGAATGAATTATCTGCCAGGGCATCTAAGATACTACCTACCGCATACAAGAAACCTCATCAAACTCATCAGCGAGATCCAAACAGCTAGTTCACTGGCCCCAGAGCAAATCGCTTCATTTCCAGTGCTCTGGGGAGGATGGCAATCTCTTCAGGGTGGCAGTAGAGATGTCACCTCCCCAGAGGTTTATCCCAGAAGCAGCCCAAAGACCCAGCAGACTGTATGATAGCACCTGACAGGTGTTTATTCCATGTCACTTAGGGCCATAAACCTGTTTGCAGAACGGCTGATGAAAAGCAATATCCACATCTGTCAGCACTCAGAGCAGGACAAGCCCTTCTGCATCCCCCCAGCCGCAGTGGCTTAACATCAAACTAATGAGCAGCAGATCAGGGGTGAAAAAAGGGGAGAGGGATGAAAAGGAAGGTGAGATGACAGGAATCCAAATCAGGCAAACAATTCCTCAAGCGTCAACTTTAAAGGAGTCTGAAAATAAGGCCATCCAGGTGAGGCACTGATCTGGAGAGGGAGGGAAAAAAACCCCCAAACCATGTGAAGAACATTTTGTTGGATGGCAGGGAGTAGTGTAGGGCTGATGGTATAACCATGGGGAGCTTTGGGCAGGCAGCTACTGGGACAGCGCCATCCGAAGGGGACAGACCTCTGCCACCCCTAGCATTGTACAAGACAAGAAGTGACA